AATAGGTCTGCTGCAGTTTCCTCCATTTTTAGGTTCGTATAAGTTATAGTAGAATGAATAAGAGACACAGGAGTCGGTGATATGTTCTGGGTGAGAGGCAGACCATTTTTTTTATGGGGGGGAGGGGGTTTGTGTGTTCTGTCTCCCCCCCCCCCACAGTTGCGCTTCCCTTCCTCTCTACCTCACTATTTACAGCATCTGTTCTAATTGTGTTAGAGAGATGAATTTGATACCATAATGATCATGAATAAATTCTCTACCAAACTTTTCTAATAAAGATACAGTAGACCCTTGCCATTCGCGGGTTTGCGATTCGTGATTTCGACGATTAGCGGTAAGCAGATGGCGGCTAGCTTGTGAGCCTTTTCCCGCAGCGCAATGATTCACCCCACGCGCCAGCGGTGTCTCATCTCTCTCTGTTCGCACTCACCCACTGCCTGTGACCCAGCATCTCGTGTTGTACTCTCAAAACTTTAGTGTTTCTTTGTGAAATGGCCTCTAAAAGATAAGTCATAAGTCAGTGATGACCCTGACAAAGAAAGTTGAATTATTAGAAAAGTTAAAGGAGGGGATGAGTGCTGCCGTGGTTGGTCGGTTGTTTGGTGTGAACAAATTCACAGTGCGGTATATAAAGAAAAGAGAACAAACAATTCGTGATTCCGTTCAAGCGAGTGCTCCTGCAAGTGCTAAAGTGGCACAGGTTGTTCATGACAAGAACACTGTAAAAACGGAAAAAGCACTGAACATTTTGATTGAGGATCAGCACCGCAAAAATGTTCCCATTGACAGCAATGTGATTTGTGAGAAAGCTAAAAGTCTTTATGCTCATTTTTACGAGTCAACAGGTGGTGAAGGGGCTAGTCCAGCTACTGAATCAACTTTTAGTGCCAGTAATGGTTGGTTCGAGAATTTTAAGAAAAGATTCTCTGTCCATAATGTGAAGCTGTCTGGGGAGGCCGCATCAGCTGACCACAACTATAGATGCATTTTCTGCCATAATAGAAGAGAAAGGCTATACACCAGAGCAAGTGTTTAATGCCGATGAATCCGGTCTATATTGGAAAAAATGTCTGGTAGAACATACATAAACAAGCAGGAGAGGCGTGCCCTTGGGTTCAAGTCAGCCAAGGACAGAGTGATGCTCATCTTCTGTGGCAATGCAGCTGGCCACATGATCAAACCTGGCTTGCTTTGCCACTCAGCAAACCCTAGGGCTTTAAAGGGTAAAAACAAGAACCTTTTGCCAGTTTTTTGGCAGTCAAACAAAAAGACATGGGTCCAAGCATTCCTGGATTGGTTCCATAAATGCTTCGTCCCGGAAGTGGAAAAGTACCTTGCTTCCAAGAAGATGGAATTCAAGGTGTTATTATTGATAGATAATGCACCAGGCAACCCAAAAAGTTTACAGTTTAGCCATCCAGGTGTAGAGATGGTGTTCCTACCTCATAACACCACTGCTCTTATCCAGCCTCTCGATCAGGGTGTAATAGCACCTTCAAGGTATATTACACCCGACACTCTTTTGGTCGTATCTGTAGTGCCATGGACGCAGACCCTGACCTTGATGTTAGCAAGTGTTAGAAGGAGTACAGCATTGCGGACTGCTTTACCAACATCAGTGAAGCATTCACTGAACTCGACAGTGAATGCTTGTTGACGAACTTTATGGCCTGAATGTGTGAATAACTTCCAGGGATTTCCGTCCATAGTAAAGGATGTGAATGACATTGTGAGTGTTGCACATCAGTTGGGTGGTGAGGGGTTTGTGGACATGGCGGCTGAAGATGTGAAAGAGCTGACTGATGGGCAAGGACAGGAACTGACAGAAGAGGATTTTAGAAGAGTTGGTAAAAAGTGCTGAGGAAGATGGAAGATCAAAAAGCAATTATGGAATTGCAACAAGAAGGTTGGGGCTTGAAAAATTTTGGTGAACTATTTCAACATGTGAAGGTGGTAACTGATTTCATTGTTGACCACGACCCTTCCATTGAACAGAGCCTTAAGATGGTCCGAGGAATCAACCAGGTATTGTTTCCCTACCAGGAAATGTTTAGAGACCTCAAAGCAAAGAAGAAACAAATACTGTACCAATCACCACATTTTTCAAGAAAGAACCATCTGCTACCGCCGCTGCTCCACCCTCCTCGTTCCAGCCACCCACCACCTCAATTCTTTTATGAAAAAAATGTAAGAAATGTTGATACCACAGTCTATAAAATCAGTTCTAATTAACACTCTCAGGATTGCCTGAAATTTATTTAATGAGCCTGTCACAGGACCACTTTTGAGCCAGCAGAATGACCAGAAATCATGGATAAGATATTGTGAAATATTTATACAAATGATGCCTTCCTATGTGAAAATGGTTGGGAAATCACATGAACCCCCATCCCCCCAATATATATATATATATATATATATATATATATATATATATAAATACATAAATATATATATATATATATATATATATATATATATATATATATATATATATATATATATATATATATATATATATATATATATATATATATATATATATATATATATATATATATATATATATATATATATATATATAAATACTTAAATAAAATAAAAGCCATATTGGCAAGTATAAGTGAAAAGTGAGAATTTACTGTTGATTCCTCTTTGTGCTGTACCCACATCATGGGCATCAGTCGGTATATAAAATACACGTCAAGAAAGAGTAAATCATGAGGAAGACGATAGTGAAATAAAAAAAAAACATAATGCAAAAAGCAATGGAGTTACAAAATCAAAAGTAAAAATAAGTGGTGGTTAGGCTCATAGTCGCAGACATGTTTATACAGGGTGTGCATAATTTTATTCCTTGCTAGTGTTTATGTCAAAATCTTTTGAAAGTATTTTTTTAATGATGGATTATTACTGTCCACATACTAAGGAAGAAATATAGACCAGTGAGAAGTTTCTTTGACAAAAATTGAAATTTTGGCAATAATATTTCCACTTACCACTCGGACAAGGTAGGCCTTGGAATATGGTCGATAATGGCATTACAAATACTTATCAGATAAACACAATAGGTATTCATTATAATTCACCATACCCATATGAATACCTCTACCGCACTACATTTCACTAACACTTATTATTTTTCCAAGCTAGGCCTATATATTACGACATGCTTTTCTGTGGTAAAGTATATGTAACTGTATTGTGAGTAGCGTAACTGTATTGTGAGTAGCCATTTCACCACCGTCACATAAATTAAAAAAATTTCACTATTTCATTATAAATATTTGACTACACATCACTTTATCACTTCATAAGAATAAATATCAAGGTTGTAAGTGATATATTGAGATAGCAGCGATAAGGCCACGGTGGCAATTTTTAAATCGCACAATGTCCCACACACACAACGCTTAGGAAGCCAGATGCACACTGGCGACTGTGACGCAATAATGCCTAGCCTACTACACCTAGACCGGTTGCCATCTAGCCTTAAGACTTGGTTCCGCACAGACAGTGGTGTTAAAAAAGTGGCATTAAATTTTGAAGTAATTTGACGAAGAAAGAAGAAAAAAAAAGGAAGAAAAAAAAGCCATATTGGTGTGTCTGATCGCAAGGCAAAAGTTTAATTTACATTAAATCAAAACGTCAATTATGCGTCTATGATCCCGAGAGTGTTAAGTTAGACACACAATTTTTAACTAAAATATTCCTGAATAATTTATCTAAAAGTTTGGTTAAATAAATATATTTAAAATACTAAAAATCTATATCATATGGGCGTGTGAGGCGCCTCGTGAATGGAGCTGTGTGTGGAATTTTCCACCCTGTACTAAGGAAAGTGAGTCTAAGCTATGCATCTCACATGGACAGACACAAGAGCTGTACAATATTTATTTACACAAACACCACTGTACATGTATGTACAATATATTGCAAATACTGTAAACAAAATAATGTATACTACAACTACTATACGTACTGTACTCACCAGCAGATGCTGTTGTCTTGAGCCTAGAGAATCAGACACTGTTATCACTTGAGATGGAGGTGGTAGAGAATAGTAGGGTCACGTTACTGACCTGACCTGATGCAATGTTAAGTGGAGGAGGGGTGGGGGGATTAGTGGTCTCATATTACTGAGGCAATGTCAGGTCACCCATTGTCAGATTGGGAAATCAGAGCAAAAGCATCTGACAGTCACTAAGACAGGGAGAGCGCTTTACAGCCACTAAAACACAGTACAATGTGAACTTTTGTGATGTCCTCTCACTGAGAAAAAATAAAAATAAAAAGATAAGATATTAAGCTCCATTTCTTAAGCTACGGTCACATTAGAGTTTTCCGTGGAATAAATCCACGATAGCATTTCATCCACAGGGAATAAGTCAATGGTACGATCCTCACACTGGCGAAAGGAACCATCGGCCAGGCACCCAGCTCGCGCAGCTAGTTTCAGCTCAGTTGGAGAGCAGGATGGCTTCATTGTATTTTTATTTATTTATTCATTTATTAATTTTTTTATGGGGATTAGCTCACCGGGGCACAGGTCACTGACCCACATCAGGGCCTGGGATGAAAATGTAATAAATATTCATAGTAAATAAAATTTATAATAAATAGGAAAATAAAATAATAATGATAACAATAATAATATTGTAATAATAATAATAAAGAACTATAAAGAAATACAAAAATGAAAAAATAAGTCAATAGTGAGAAATGCTATATGTATGTTGTGTTGTCAAGTAAGAGAAACAATTGAGACCTGCAATTGTGTGTAAATGGGGCAGAAAGACAGATCAGCAACCTGGGACTTGGTAAAAATTTTTGTGATGCCATATGGCAGCAGGGTCTACCATTAAACAACACATTATGCTTCCAATATCTTCCCAGGCAGTAGTACCTCCCGGTTTGGTAGCTGCCTACTACCTAGTTTCTATGGCAGCATTAACCGCTTTAGTGAGATATGTGTGGTCCTGTTAAAGAAGACCAAGATGAAAAAAAAAAATGATTGTGGGTAGCAGTATCCATCAAGGAAATTTGGTATGCGTTTAAAGGGTCCAAGCGATGTTTGTTTACAAAAGTGATGCAAGTACTCTAGAGTCAAATGAAATTCCCGTCGTGCTGAATTATTCTTATTTTTTATTTACGACAACATTTTTGCTCTTGTTTTGTTACTGAAATAGTTTTTATATTTTTTGTACATTTTGACATTAATAAGAAAAAATAAGAACGGTATAAATTTTAGTAATACAATAGACTCTCTATAGGAAATTTCAATCCACTGTACTGTGGCTTATCAGACGTTCCATATCGTCCTACTTTCGACAACAAATAAGTTGTCGCTGTAGAGACAACTTGAGGAGTTCGTTGAAAAATCAATGGTACAGTGGATTTATTCTGGGTAGAAACTCTAGTGTGACTGCAGCTTAACACACATGTAACCTATAAGAAACAATGGCTGGACTGTAGTTCACCAGAAGGCCACTAGACGGTGTTCAGGTAGATGACACCTCAGCTGACAAATGAAGTGAGTGATGCGTTCCATACGGTGAGTTGGCAGGATGACGAATATTGTTAATGCGACTTTGTTTACATTGCAAATAGGGGAGTGATCGTAATATATCAGCATCATTAATGTAAATTAGCGTAAATTGGGAGATCGTAAATAGAGATTTACCTGTATACAGAGGATACGGACACAACTTAACTTTATTTTTGAAGCAGTTACATCCAAGGACTACTTCAAATGGGGAGAAGGCTAGTCTGAGGCTTCTGAGTGGAAAATCTATGATGGCCAAGAAGGTTACATTACACAAGATACAGCAGTTCAAAAATGCTTAGCTCTCAACCATGATTGGTAACTTCTGCCTCCAAGTCCCCATTCTAGTAGCTAAGAATGCAATGAGAGAGCTGTACTAATTGTTTGATGAGCAACAACTGTCAATATGAGGGGTTAGCTTGGTTGGTAACCCACGGGTGCATTACAGGAGTCTCCGTGGACCAACACGAGGCTATAGAGTTCCCTGATAAGAAAGTGCACAAATGGAGTTCATAACAATAAAGCTCGTTCACCAGAAATGAAAACATACTTCTTAGTGCTTCAACATTCTTTATACACCTGTAAATAAATCTCTCTTATAGAAGTCTTTGTCAATCTGTATACCTGTCTTTACTGAGGCCACACATTGTATATATCAATTACTGCATTGTGTAAATCCTAAGAACAGTCATTATTTATACTGATAATTCCATGAGCTTTACATATATATTCACTATTACAAGTATGTTATTTCATTAAAATTTTAAGTTTCAGTTATACAGTATTGTACTGTATATTCTAAAACACATTCTTTTAAGTATAAGAGCGCTGTGTTAGTGGTTATGGCTGCCGTCTCTGTGCTGTATGATGCCCTGGTTCACTGCCATTCCTTCACTGAATACTGTACTTACATGATATTTAATGCCCGATTTCTTGTTTATTACGCGTCCTTATGGTTTTTCCATCATGATCAATTGTAAGTGTCATGAGTAACTTAATCATATTATATCAATAAATTATGCATTCCCCCCACATCGCTTTAGTCTTCACCAAGCTTCTCAATTTCATCAATGTTGTTATAGTCCAATTTGACTATTTTGATATCTGAAAAGAAGAAGAAAAAAATAAATAAATCATAAATTTTATACCTATAAGTTCAAAACATAAAAGGCAGTCACATGTAAGATTTTTGAATATCACAGCCACAGACAGTCACATGTAAGATCACCTGTGAACACCTTAGCCACAATCTCCACACTATGGTGTTAAACAAGCTGATATACTGCACCTGTTATCCTCTTCATTATTGGGATGCCACTTTTGATATTATATTTGGCTCATTTTATTCAGCACAGAGGGGATACCATACACAAGTGGTTAAACAACTTGCTTCTCACAAGAAAGGTTTAAACAAGATCAAAATCCTATAAAACAAGTGTTCCAAAAATGGCAAATACTGTACCATGCCCACTGTGACCCCCAAACTGACACCTTTCTTTTTTGCTAAAGGGGTCTGTGTGACATCATCATCATCAGATCGTATAAATGTAAGTTAAGATCTCAAAGTCAAACTTTTAGTTTAACTAACAATGATCAAGACCTTCCATTCATTGGCTCTAAAATCAAAAGGGAACTTTTTACCCTTTGGTGCAAAAATTCTGTTGAGGTCAGAAGTTTGCTAGCTCTCATATTGAAGCAGTAGCAAGCCCAAATGAAATTAAACAGCACATCCACACCACATGGCAGTCAGGGTAGATAAGTTTGAAGACTCATTCCTGTAAGTCAGTTTCACCATGGGGAGCAAACTTTGGTCCATGATTGTACCTGTGTACATCTGAACTTGGAAGGTCAACTTACAATTTTAGCAACAAAGATCCAGAAAAAAGTATCTTGCTCTTTATGAAGACAAGGTACTCATATAATGCCATGTTCATCTGTGCTTGGAAACTTAAGTTAAAATTAGAAAACAAAATTCTGTGTTGAATAAAATTGTCTGGCATAAACTAAATAAAATATTAAATGTGGTACAGTATTCCCACAATGAAAGGGTTAATGGTATATACAGTATAGGAATTACTGTATGGTTCAAAAGATATATGGCTTTGTGAGTTATACAATACTGTACAGTGGTCCCTCGGTTAACGAACACAATTCATTCAACAGAGTCATTCGTTAACCGAGTCCATTGTTTCAATGGGATATTGGGTAATTGGTTCCAGCTGACAGAAAAGTACATACAAAGTAAAAAAAAAATGCAGAAAAGTACACTTACTTTGAGGTGTGTATGTAAAAGGTTCCTGGTTGATGATGATGATAGGAATTAGAAGTGGGGGTGAAGAAGAAAGGAGAAGAGAAGGAAATGGGGATGGAGGAGAAATCACCTTTCAGGGGACCCATGCTTGATGCAGTAATTTCACCAATAAAATTTTAAGTTCACTAGGTGTAATTCAAGATTATTTTATTTAAATCAACCCTGCACTCGCTATATATTATCAATATGTTAACTAAATTTCAGAATGACCACTAATTTTAATGTAAAAATGAAAAAATATTCAAGACACCAACAAAACCGATGTTCACCCCACTGTTAACAAAGCCTAACTGACGCCTGGTGGGTGAGTCAAGCGACTGATGGGTGCACAAAAAACTAGTTTCCTGTACTGCATATATTATCAATATACTAACTAAACTTTAAAATGACTAATAATCTTAATATAAAAAATGCAAAAATATTAAAGACCACAACTTTCTTGATATTTACTCCACTGGAAACGAATGTAAACATACAACAGATTATTGAATTGGCAGATTAGCCCATCAGCTGATGCTCACAACAAAACGTGGTTTTCGTAAGGATCTCGTTAAACGAAGTTCTGTTCGTTAACCGAATTGAAGATCCTTATGGGAGGTAATTCGTTAACCGAAATTTCGTTAATCGAATCACTCGTTAACCGAGGAACCACTGTATATCTTTGTTCTGAAGAAATCAAGAAAACAAAAACAAAGATATTAGATGGACTCCAAGGGTAAGGGTCATGACAACACTCTTCCAGCTCTGGTTGTCACAGGTCAAGAAGTGATATCATCACTCAACTTTAACAATACTGTACTCACTGAAGTGCTGCTCAATTTCCCTCAATAACCTAAGGTCATCCTGTCCATCAACGATGTTGATGGCATTGCCAGTCTTGCCAAAGCGTCCAGTGCGGCCGATTCGATGCAAGTATGTTTCACAGTCTGCTTTGCCAGATCCATACACATGGGGAAGATCATAATTGACCACTAGGTTCACCTGGAATGTTATTAAAACAACCCTATAACATGGTGCTATTAAGCCTACCACATAAACAATCCCACTTTCATTTATAATTTGGGTGATTCAGTATCAAGTGTCTTTCATTCTGGTCAATCAACCAGATAATTATATATTTACATGACATCAAGGTATTTTATGATGCTGTATAAAGTTGTGACCTCAACAAATGGACTTCAATTACATGTTCTACACTTTACCTACTGATGACTCATATTCACGTTAAGGTACAACAAAGAATCTGTATCATTACACGATTAATTTTCTGGACAATATTTTAACCATTTAACTGTAATACAGACATCTGAATTTTATGTACATGATGTAGTCTCATGATGACATATAATATTAACTATGTTTTGAACCTTTAACCTTAAATTGATCTTAGACTTTTGACCTATATAATACATATTTGACTTTGGTTATCCACAAATTCTTACATAAATGAGCATCAACTGACATAATTTCTTTAATATTAGTCAAGCTGTTTCAGAGACATGTGGTGGATACAATTATGTGATGGGAAGAAATACACAAAGACAGACAAGACACTGTATGATCCCCCCATAATAGGGTAGATAACTGATGAGAAGTGGTTAAAGAATAAAATAAATTATGCAAAGATACTAGATAAATAACAAAGAAAATGAAATATAACATTTAAGATGATGAAGAGAAAGAACAATCAAGATAAAATAAAGGAAAAATATTTAAAATTCTTCAAACAAAGTACTGTACAACAGACTAAAAAAAAAAAAAAAATGCTTACTGTGTCAACGTCAATTCCTCGTGCCAGAACATTAGTACATATCAGTACTCTTTCAGATCCCTCACGGAAGCGGAGCAACACTCGAACTCGTTCATCTGGTGTTAAGTCACCTAGAATAATAAATAATAGTAAAGTACAAAACAGCTACAGTATGTTAAACCAGTAAATTCTGGCCTACAGGACAAAGTTTTCAAGCAACAAAATGTGCATGATGTTAACTTACACTATATCATATCATTATATATATATATATATATATATATATATATATATATATATATATATATATATATATATATATATATATATATATATATATATATATATATATATATATATATATATATATATATATATTTTAACTCTGGGAAGGAATATTTCGGTGACATTTCAAATTAATTAATTATTTTCCATATGAAGATTGTAATTAATGAAGAATACCAAGAACACCCTCAACACATCTCATGAACAAGAGTTCATTTCTTCAGCGTTCAGGTTCACCACAAAATAAGATTCACAGCAAACTTTCTTGGCAGATAACAGAAAGCTTTTTAAAAGATTCTGTCCACAGATAGACCATTACATTGTTAAAGTTGCCCCCAAAAGTTCTAAAGGTGAAGGTCAACAGTCTGTCTAATAATCTTCAATCTTACTAATGATAAGTTAATTAAATTTGGTCTCTTCAAAGACTTTATGTGGTAATAATAGCCAATATCACTGGGAAAGGAATATGGCTGATGGATGGGCCAAGAAAACATGTGTGTTGTTAACAAGAGATGTATGTATTCAGCCATGTTAAACTAACAGAGGAATGTATCTAACTGCTTGCCCTTACCGGTGAGCAGAGCAACTTGATGCCCATCTTCCTTCAGTCGTGTTGCCAACCAATTAGCATTCTGCTTAGTGTGGCAGAAAAACATGGCACTACCCACTGGGATGGAGTAGATGTTAGAGATGGCTTCATATTTCTCATCCTGACTCCGACATTCAACATACATCTGCAACAGGTACAAAAATACAAATATGAAGCATCTTATTTTTCCATCTTATAAACAGTGTCTCATTGCCCCTTCAGGAGTTGGTCAACACAGAGGAGCTTCTCTGCCATGTCACTACAGCTCCCACTTACCCTTTTTATTTCTCTCCTTCATTCCCCTCCTTCCCTCCCTCATGCATTGTTCCACCTTTGCCTGCCACACTCCCTGTCCCTCATGTATTCCATACTCTGTTGTAAGCAAGTACTGTGTGCTTATTTCTGACAAATTTATGTCCACTTATAAATTATGTTCAGGCAAGAATACCACAGAGAAGGAATACTCATCAACTTCACTTCAGTTATTCATACAAATTCTCTGGTTTTGTTTATACCCCTAATACTGTCCTCCTACAGTTTTTATTATTATTAATTTTATTAAGACTATACAATACTAATTTTTTCTCTTAATGTCTCACCCAATTCCTCCACCTTTTCCAATTTCACCTTCATTTCCTTTGGTCATAGTACATGTATTTCTGTCAGTTATCTATCTAATTTCCATTATAAGTTTTGAAACACCAGGTAGTGGTGTAAGCTGTTCCTTATTCATCTTACTAACTTTGTGTCCTTGCCTTGTTTCCTGATCCTCTCATCAACTACATAACCCATCAAAGAATTCTGTCCATACCACATTTCAACTTTTCTTTTCCTATAATACAAAGCTTACCTGCCAAGAAATTTTGTACAGCTTCTTTTCTCCTCAAGTCTTCCAGTGAAACTATTGCCTTATAAACACTTATTCCATCACTTCTCCAATAAATACTCCACTCCCCTGGTCTCGACTCATTAAGGTCAACAGGCTAAGGATGCACTCGGGGACAGTAACTATAACCAGCCAATATAGACTTACTATAAACATTTGGCTACTGTACTGTAGTACTTATTACTTCAATCCTGAAAATTTGAATCCTTACCTACAACAAAAAATTAAACAAAATTGTAAGCATTCCACATATAAATTATAATACATTACAAGTAAAACCAAAAAGCTTGTGAAACATTACTGTATAAGTCCAACTTTCTATGTTAAAAAATTATATATAAAAAACTCCATACCTAACAACAAAACAACAACAGTAAAACACCCCATAAGTCAGCATCTGATAAGTTACAATTTGCAATAAGTTTGCATTTGCACCAGATAACCATTATACAGTATTTTTGAGTAGTCGGAAAATTGGCACTAAGTCAGCAGGAGCAGAGTCATGCGCGAGAACTCAGTAAGCCAGCCCACGTATGTCAGCCCCCTGAGCGCGAGTTTACGTGTGCCTCTTGTCACAGGTAGACCTTCTGACAGATTAAGTGCCTGTGAAATGTTACTGTACCAAAAGTGTTAAGTGTTATGTAGAAAGTGTAGTTTTAAGTTTGTCAGAACAATAAATTACAGCATCTGTGAAGTGTTATTGTTATGTATAAAGTGCACAGTATATACAGTAGCGTTAAGTTCATCAGAATAATTTGCTATACTGTACAGTGCCTGTGAAGTGTTGCACACAATACAGAATGTACTTTGTACAGTACTACAGTTTGTCTGCCTTTTTTACAAGTTCATCAAGAAATTGCCCCTTGCTGTTGGTAAGTACCTAATACAACTGTTTTTATTTCATTATATACACTACAAGCTCATTACTGATAAGTAGGCAAATTCGATTACTCGGCAAGGCATCAGCACCATATGTACCAAGTTACAGGTTTTTACTGTACAGCACTGGACTTAGAAACCTACACTATCAAAGTTGGGTATACCTGCATAATGCCCCATCAGTTGCACCTTGTTTCATCTGAGGGATGTATTAACAAGGCCTCTTGGTGAAGACTTGGTGGAACTCAGTTTATCTTCTACTGTGCAGCAACCCACAAAGGTGCACTCAACAAAATTTTACAAACCACAAACTACCGTAATCTTTTTGACATTCTTATTTTCGTCATTACTGCCACCTTGCCACGAATATATCAAACTGCTAAGAACGATACATGAGCCAAACAATGCTTCTGAGGAACTGGTTCTTACAGGTTGAAACTGTAAGTAAAAAGATTTCAGCTGCAAAAGTGTTGCATAGCTTCTTTTCCAGACATGTTCTTATTAAGGACTTCAAAGAACAGTACAAGAAGTCTCTGGAAGGGACGGTGGTGAGTAGCACTGGTGAGAAAATGGACATGTTCCAATTTATTATTTATAAGAGGAATTATTTTACCAGCAAGGCATAATGCCATAACTTGTAAAGGATGGTAAAGAGGCTATATAGGGGATAACATACTAGGAATGTTGGATCAATGAAACTGACTTCCAACATGTAAGGCAAAGGTGGTATAATATATTAAGATGAGAAATGTGTGTATGGTAAAAGAAAAAGAGAGAGTGGAAAGGAAATGTGTAATGGGGCATCCAAGAGGCACTTCTATCAGTGCCACACGTCAGAGGAGAACTTCCCGAAGGAGCAAGGTGTCACATATAAGACAAGAAGAATGCCATTAACAAATTGGTGAAATTGAAAAGATGATTCATTCTGTCATTATTTCTTTACCGAGTACCTGAAATTAACCCATTTATTACATGCAGAATATCTTTTTACCTGTCTTATATTTGTTAGAGTTTCCTCTTCCCTTCGTAGACGGAGAACGACAGGGTCAGTAATGATGGCCTCAGCAAAATTAACCACTTCGTCATCATAAGTGGCAGAGAACAACATCATCTGACACTTTTCAGGAAGTTGTTTATGGATACGGACAGACTGGTCCTGTAGGTAAGAAAATATCCCAACTGTCATTTTTGCATAATGCAGTGACCAAAATGAACCAAAACATTAGCTCCTTCTTTTACTTAGTCATGAAGTTGAACAATATTTTTTGGGTGGTGAGTTCTGTAGAATGTCATTAACTGCACTGGGAAGTAAATACTCTGGCCCCAACTGTTCCCTTTGTCTAAGGAGTCTAAAGACATGAGGGGAGTGCTGATTTCACCCAGCCAAAGCACTTACTGGACTTTATATAAGGTATCCAGCCATAAAATTACTTACGTGGCAATAAAATAACGATATGATTAGAATGACTGAGTAACGTTAAGTGCACATACATTACTGTACAGTATATGTAATAATATATCAAGTTGTGCAGCGACTACAATGCTAAAAAAAAAGAAGATTAGGTGCAGTAATTTGAAGTATACGGTAGGTAAGCTGATAATGCTCTAACTTAGCATCCAAAAACTCAATACTAAAATAAAATAACTGGTGTACCTGATGGCCCTGAGTGGCTATCATGACATCGGCTTCGTCAAGTACAAACACTTTACATAAACGCAGATCCAGGCATTTGTACTTAGTAACCCAGTCTACCACCTTCCCAGGGGTGCCAATGACTATATGTTCCATAATTTTCTGTCCACGAGGAACTGAAAAAGAAGAAGGAAATGTTAAAACAATTTATCAGGTAAATATGGAACACTTTCAAGTCTAGAGCTCAAGATCAGCATCAATATTCAGATAATCACCTGAGTTTCCCTTCACAGCAGAGCGAATGGTAATATCAGTGCATTTCTTTCCCATCTGCTTCACACAATCAAGGGTCTGCAATGCCAACTCCATGGTTGGTGACAAACACAGAGCCTGAAAATTATAATCAAAATTAGTGTAAAAATGAACACCACCCCAAAAAATGGTCCTTTACTGTGACATTGTCAGCATAACATGGCTATAGAGAAAGTATAGGGGATAATCAGGACTATTTACTTTACAATGAACTTTTTTTTATTGAGCCAAATACATGATTTAAGTGGAGCATTTGCTGCCAACACAATGTACTAAGGCATAAGTGAGGGGATAATACGTAGTGCATTATACAATTAACTAATACCGTATATGAAACACTAAATAAAGTCACATGATTAATAAAAATGAACACTGGCACAAATACTGCCCCCAAAATTAATAAATAAATAATAAAGGCATGACATAGAATAAAAGTTAAGACCATTCCAGAATAAATAGATACAATAAGAATAATTGAGCAGCCATGCTGAATACAATACAGCACTGTATATCAGTTGATACAGCATAATTGGAGCAATCTTGCCTCTGTCATGAGGAAGTAAGACATGGAAATACTCATGATATGCAGTAGCATTGGACTGTACAGCAAAGTATGTCTGGAAAATATGTAAAACTAGTTGTTGAATAAACAAGTAAAAATAACTGCCTGAGAGGAGATACGTCAGCAAGCTTGAGCTACACATATAAGGCCAAGTAAAACAACGTGCCCTAATTATGAAGTAACTAAGAACAAAATACTTATCTGGTACCTGGCAACACTTCTTGGAGGAGTCGATGCGACTCAACATGGCAAGGGTAAATGCTGCTGTCTTGCCAGTCCCTGACTGTGACTGGGCAATCATATTGGCAGGCCTGTGGGGAGGGATTGAAATTATTATATACAGAACTCAATCAAATAAAAGTACTGTACATAATTATATATAGCAATCGCATGTAAGTACAAACATACCTCTTAGAATGAGGTTTCATTAAGAGGAATTTTCAATACAGGTATCCTTAGTTTAATGATGGGGTTGCGTTCCTGAGAAACATAACGTGTCGCAATTATCGCTAAATGAGGGATTACAACAAAGCACTGAGGGTGAACAACCGGTTCAAACGGCAGGATGGTAAACAATGAGTACAGTTCAGTACTCACTAATAATAATAAAAAAAAAAATTATTAAGCAAAAGGTGAGCCTAATCCAAACAAATTTCAAATTGCATACATCAAAAATGTAAAAAAATTGCCATGATAAACAATAAAATTGATACATAGCATATCGTAAAATACAATAGCACATATTTCATGTACAAAATATAGCTCCATCTACACACAAACCATCCTCTGGGAGACGCGACATAGTTCAGCCAGATGACTCAAGAGACGTGTGGCTGCTGCCATGCTATGCTGTATGTATGCCATGATGTCACATTGGGGTAGGGAGTCAGGGAGCATGACTCGCCTCGCGATGCAGTTACAGCCACTGCCTCCACAAATACATTCACTTCACATACACACATACCTATGCTCTTCAGTTTTCTTGTTTTATAGTTTTATATAACTGTATATTATTTTATTTATTTCTAAGCCACATGAGAGTATTGTAATGATTTTTCCACAACTTTTATAGTTTCATTACATATAAAAATGGCAACATGCTATCTCACAGGCCACCTCATCCCAAGTTTTTCCCTTTTCCAGTGAGTCAAGTTATCGCTAAACTGAATTTGGACCTAACGTTAAGTGAGAAAGGGTGTCAAAATTTTTCTATCACTCAACCGAATTAATATTAAGTGAATTAGTGCTAACGGAGGGATACCTGTCAGTCTGGCATGACAACAGGAAATGCAGTCACTAATCCTGGTGTTGGGTAATGTACAGACAAACAGAAAAAAAAAACTTGCTAGATAATTACGGATCAGCCAAAAGTGTAGGAAGAGAGATTTCTTGAATTTTTGAGGGAAGCTTAAATCCCATATCATAAATCCCCTCCAGGAGTTCTTTTCGTAGGTTGAGTTCCTCAAAAGTCTTGACACAAAAGAGGGGATTCTTGGGGTCCTTCCGGTAGACCTCCACATTGTTCTTGCACTCAACAATGCCTTTCCTCATTGCCTTCCTCATCAGTGACAGGTCAGCAGCAGTAACACTCTCCTCTGGGGAGACTTCATTTGGAGCTGTCTGTTTTTCTGGGGATACACCATCCTCTTCAGTTTGGGGGAGCTTTAAGTTACAGACCTGCAGGTAATAATAATAGTGATGAAGAAAATTTTTCCAGAGGTGAAAACCTGTAAACCTATTAGTGTGAGGCCTACTGACATCATGTTTACAATGAAGAGATGTACACAATAACTGCTGTTAAGTTTAGAATACAAGAAGTAGCTACACTAATGCATTCAACATGTGAGCAGCTGTTTTTGCTCACATGGATAAATTCACATTTTGTTTTTCTTTGCTCCAAAAAAAGATGTGCATTCTATGCAGTAAACCAAACATAACCATAAGAATTTCATAAAATTATATATATATATATATATATATATATATATATATATATATATATATATATATATATATATATATATATATATATATATATATATATATATATATATATATATATATATATATATATATATATATATATATATATATATATATATATATATATATATATATATATATATATATACCCTGTGAGTTTCCACAGCCATCGCAAGAGATTTCCTGTGCCAGAAACAGATACACTATATAATCTCTTGTTCAACAAATAAACCAAACTAACCTACCTGAGCTTGAGCTTCATCTAAACAGTATTATATAAATCAGGTTAGGTAAGGTAGGTTAGTTTGATTCATTTTATGAACAACAGATTATATAATGTATCACTTTCTGGTACTTCAGAAAGTTTCCAGTCTCAATGAATGTCAACAAAGGTGTTCATGATTTCACGCTGTTAAACACAAGATTAGCCAACCACCAGAATGATATTACAAGAAACGTTTTCCTCGTCCACTTATCATTCTTCTCATGAGGTATGAAAGCTTTTATCTTCTGGAGTGAAATTCCCTACTGTAGGTAGTTAAGGAGCACAGATAATCTGGACATTTACCACTAATTCATGTAGTTTCTGCAAACAAAGCAGAAAATTACAACCATAATGACTTTAATAAACAACTCACCCCGAGCCATAATAACAGGAGCCACACACACCTTACTGATACAACCACCTGGCCAATTTCACCTCAAATACTCTGGTGTACATATACTAACATAACTAACTCCACAAACTGTAAAGTGGCTTGTAAGTTCCATTGTTAAATTTAGAAAAACCCGAGACAGCATTTTTGCTTTGCCCTTGGAATGAATGTGGACTCCAGGGACTCTACCACTTCCCTTTTAGTTTCCCTGATTTCCCAACGATAAAAATACCGTATCCTTACTTTATCGACCAAGTCCTTGGCCTCCTGCTCCTCGGCTGCCTTAGCCCAGTCGTCACCCATTATTATCAGGTTTTAGACAGGACAAACCTCGACACTCACGTAGTTCTGACTGAGGAAAAACAACTTAGCGGAGTCAGTATTTCCGGGTCATAAACTAGAGACTTGTAGGAAAAAAAACATTTATATATGATATAAATAAACCAATAAACAATATAAATAAAGTGTTTGCTATAATAATTGATTATATATGAATGGCGACTTTAAAACTTTTTCTTTCTCACACTTACATTCTTAGTCATATATCTTGAAACCATGAGGAAGAACTAAGATGAAATTGTGTCAAACACGCAAATGAGATGAAACAGGGAAGAAATTACAGTAGTCTGATGCTGAGTCAAGAGTAAACCTCACAATACATATATCATAATATTACTCTTCAGAATATGTTATCATTTTATATTGATAGGTATGACATATTTTCAGGAGAGGATACACGAACACGTAGAAAAACTGCAATACTTTTCTCTGGAAAGACTTACAGGATGTATAAAGATTTGGAATATCAAACTCCAGCAACTAAGAAATTCCAATGAAAAGAAGCTACCTAACCTACCATATGCAGTTTTAGTCAATGTAGATAGTGACTCAAACAGCACATGCTTCTCTACCCTGCCCAGACCTCACATACATGTACAGCACCGCGTCATACCTCCGAAAAATGACCTGTGTTAATCCCCTGACCCAGCCATATCCCCCCCCCCCCCAAGACGACCATATCCACAAACAAATGTAGGCCTGTAAGCTTGACCAGCATAGTTTGTAAAGTACTAGAGAGCATTATAAAAGATGTCATGATGGAACATTTACGAAATAGCCTTCTTTTCTTTTACTTTTACTTACCTTTATCCTCTTCACCACTGATCGGCTCGTTAGCTGCTTGGGCGATCGGTCACGTCTCTGTCACGCACTGTCACAACACTTTCTGGCAGATTGTTCCAAGAGTTCACAACTCTCACTCCGAAATAGTTTGCCCTCATAGTTTTCTGGACTTGCGGCTTCTTCAGTCTTGAGTTGTGACTCCTTGTGGGGCGAGCGTCCGCCAGCTGCAAGTAAGGACACTCGACTGAGTAGTGCCCCTTGAAGTTGAGACGCTTATACGCCTCAATTAGGTCGCCCCTTGCCCGTCTGTAGTATAAGCTAGGCAAGTTCACGCGCTCCAATCTCTCAGGGTAGTTGAGGTGCCGAAGTGCAGGCACCAGTCTGGTGGCCCTCCTTTGAACATTTTCAACCAACTGACAGACGGGGTGACAGTACTCCAGATGGGGAAGCCACTGATCGGCTCCTTAGCCGCTTGGGCGGCCGGTCACGTCTCTGTTACGCACTGTTGGCAAGTACTGGGCAAGAACTGGCTCCTGAATATATCTGAACCTGCTCCGGTGTTGTTCAAGTCTAACCTTGTATGAGCTCACACTCGGTGCCGTTGTACGGGAGCGTTTTCCTTACTTCATATTTTATACTATCCTTACACAATTTTCACCCCGAAAAAGTTTGCCTTCAACCTTGAGTTATGACTCCGTGTGGGGCAGGCGTCCGCCAGCTCCAGGAATGAACAGTCGATTAAGTATTGCCCTCTGTAGTAGCTGAGGTTCCGTCGAGCAGGCACCAGTCTGGTGGCCCTCCTTTGGACATTTTCAATCAATTGACAGTTTCTAGCAAACCTCGGGGACCAGACAGTACTCCAGCAAGGCCACCTTGACTCCAGACGGGGAAGCACCACACTCTTGAAGATCGTGACGAGCGACGGACCAACCAGTTATCTAAACGACCTTCTTATAAGACCTACTAGTTTCGATGCCTGATTCACCTTCTCACAATGCCCCGAGAACTTAAGCTCATTGTCAACATACACACCCAGGTCCTCTTCGCATTCAGTCTCTATTAATGCAGTCTCTTCGTCCTGCTGGGACATGTGATACGCCTACTTACTTTTGGTGCGACCCAGATGCATCCTCTTGGATTTCGTGACATTGAATCTTAGCAGCCATTTCTTCGACCACTCTTGAAGCTCATAGAGATCTTTCTGTAGCTCTTCACAGTCAGTTTGGTTATTAATTTCCCTAAATATCTTGGCATCGTCCACAAACATTTGTATGGAGGAGTGTATAGCTTCTGGCATATCACTTATGAAGCAAACAAACAACAACGGGCCCGATACACTGCCCTGTGGTACCCTGCTTGTCAGAGGTACACCCACTAAAAAATTATTCGGTACCCTTGGCTCTGATACACCCCCGCAACGATCACCGGTACAGAAGCCGTAATTACGTGGTGTGGTGTGGTCTCTCTCTCTGTATGTGTGATTGTGTGTGTGTGTGTGTGTATGTGTGAAAGTAATATGATGTTTTCTGTAGCCACGTGTAGTAATTAACGGATAATAAACGGGAATATTGTATCACGCCGTAAGGGTGCCGAATAATTTTGGTTGGGTGTACACAAGACGATTTCATACCATTAATCACCACACAGTTTGCGGTCATGCAGAAAGTCTCCGATCCACGCTAGGGCATTTCCCTGAATCCCGTACCTTTCCAATTTAATTCTCAGCCTTTCATGGGGCACGCTGTCGAAAGCCTTGGCAAAATCTATGTCGAGAATTTGAGTCCAATCATCCAGCCTTAAAAAGGAATGCCAACATACAGAGGTCAAGTGGCATATACAGTATAATTGAATATTAGAAAAAATGGGTTTCATTACCATGCAACATAATTCCATCTTTTCCTACATGAAAGTACATAATGAGGTTCCATACAAGGGTTCAGACGTAATCAATAACGAACGGATTCAAATCCGGAATCCAGATCAGGTAAAGAACTCAATTGTCTGTAAACATTAACCCTGTGTGACGGTGATCAGTGACACCTATGACATGGCTACATCAGGTGTGTATATATTCTGTCATTTGAAAGAATACACATATCGGCTGTAATATATAGTTACATAGATAAACACTTATGCCATCATGCTGTATTGTACAATATCATGCTCTGTTCTGCTCCGGGAAAGAAAGGCTTGAGGCAAATAAAAGCAATTCTGCCAATGAGCAGAAGTTTATTTTCTTGTAAGCTGATCTGGGGGTTCACTACCCATGGCATACAGACTAATGAATATAGTCGATGATCATTAAGTGAAAAAAAACGTAAATATTCTGTTGAGTACATGACGGAAATCACTAACAAAATTAGATTTCACAAATGTAATTGTTGGTGATTTAAAAGAATATGAGCTTCATTTCTGGTGGAAATGAATAGTAATGTAGATATAATCCACTCTCACTACCCATGAATTTGATTGCATGGTTTAAAACCCTGCCCATTTTGTGCAAGGGAAATTGTGCGAGTGAAATTGTGGGATAAAAACAAATAACAGACCAAACCAAACCTATAAAAAACCTGACTTAACTTACCTTACCTTTGTGTTGGCGAATTTGCATCTTTATTAAAACCAAACTTGTTTATTGTCACGATAGTGGCAGTCCCCACCACACTTTGGACACCTTTAAGGATGTAAATAAGGTAAATGTTCACTTGTTGTCACTGTATGAAATTGAAGTTGAAATTATGTTTACCGATCGGTTTTGTTGTGTTATGAACGAATTTCACCTTCATTTCTGGTGCAAATCAATAGTTTCTGAGATAAGCCCCCCTCCCACCTCATAATCTAGAGATTTGCAATAAAGTCAATGAAAAAAGTGTTCAAAACATCAATAAACATCGGAAAAACAGTTTTGAATTGAACCTAACCCACCTAACCTAATCTAACCGGGGAAGCTTCACAGTTGTTCGATGTTCTGGGTGTGTACCGCCACGTACGAACAAACTTAAACACCTCCAAATTGTAAGATTTTTTAAAAATTATTAATGAAAATACAGTAACTCAGAAATTAGGAATTTCCACCAACAATACAATAGAATAAAGTTATACTGTATTATTTTGTATGATCTATCATCCTACAGTATACATAAATCAATAAAGACTCCTGTGAGTTCCCTGATTAGTCAAGCATGATCATGTGAATAAGAAGTAAACAATATATTCTGCAAAACTTCTTTCAGTTATCTTAAATTCTCTCCTATCTAATGAAATTTGTTCCATTGAACTTAAAACCCCCTCAAATTCAATTTTTTTAAGTTTTTCATATAATCAAAATAACTGAGAAAATATGTTTCTGCCAAAAAAATGCAATAAAGTACTGTACCTGTACTCTTAATTTTTTTTTGTGCTTTTTCATCCTAAATGAAAATTAATATAAACTTTCGTGCATGTGTTCTACTGAATCTTAACCCCCCAAATCTTACAGATCTGATACAACAGAAGTAAAACACCTTTTGACCTACTGGAATATCACTCTGAAGATTGATAGATTCATGCGTATGTTAAAGGTTAAGGAGAGGGTCACCACTTTCATGTTATTTTTTGGTGGGCCCTTTGCCAATTTTTTTTTTATTCACAAAATATAAATCTGGTATGAGAGAAATGAAAAGTGGGTGTGGGCATCAATCAATAGTGTTGAAAGTGACTCTTTGAAGGAACACTTAACCCTCACACTTTCCTGCTCTCAATTCTGCAGGTTGGGCTGGTAGATTGTTCCATAGGTCTAGCACCCTCTGTGTGTGTGTGTGTGTGTGTGTGTGTGTGTGTGTGTGTGTGTGATAGATGTACTTGTCTAAAAGATGGACTGGCTAGGAGCACATTAACCCCATCTGTGCTATAGGGTAATAGAAGAATTAATTATATTGTAATGCTAAATCTATATACTGTACAGTAATGTACTTTGAATTATGAGATTTATGTCTGACACTGGAACAATTCTTTAGTAATCTGAAGTGTCTACCTGGGTGATTAATATACACTGAATCACGTCATTTAATAATTAGCATTGATAGTATTACAGTTTTTGGATGTCATGTAAAAATTGGTTTGCCCAAAATTAGAACAAGATAAAAAGTCTGTGGCTTAGATGTTTTACTAATACATCCTAAATGTGATAGAGGTTTAGAATACGTATTGGAAACATTTCAAATTCAATGGGGAAGTACACAAATAAAGAGCATAAGATCAGGCATATATGGTGAAATTATGTAGACGAAGCTTCTCAGGTTGGAGCTCAGTCATGTGAGCAAAGCTTAAGTCTGTGGCTCAGGGGACTGTGGCATAAATAAGTTGGCTATGACAGTATACTACACAAACCTTTCATAACTTACTGATCTTAGTTATGTTTTGGCTCAATTAAGTTTGGTAGATTCATGCTATGTGTTGTGATAAACGATTTTTGCCATAGACTCACCTATTTAAACTTTAAACTTTATTGACAAAACCAGAAGATAAGCCCCAGCTTATTTCACCTCAAGATTAACCTCCCAAATTCTAACCTTACCTAACTGAATCTAATTTAACCGATCTTCATCTAACCCCCCGATAGAAATAGGATGTTTAACCCACTCAATGCAGACATGGATGTGACAGTTGACTGGGGAAGTGTCATATATGGAACAGACACCCATTATGTACCAAAACTAACCCACTGAGGGTACGCTTAAAATTTAGATCACCTGCATTGAGTGGGTTGATCATGAGGTGAGATAAGTTGAGGGGCTAATCTTCAGGTTAATCAAATGGGTATTTTCAGATTAATGTATACTGGTACTAATTTTTCTTGTTCTTCTAATGAACTTGCAGTTTATTGGTAAATATTTTTAACTATATCCCCTGTATTGATCTTTCACTTGTGACAGAAGCAAAAAATGAGAGGCGGCGGCGGACAGAGCTGCTGCAGTTTTATGGCGGGGTATCAAAAGAAGACACTCCATATAACATTAATTCCAAGCACTTCAACCATGACATGTATGTCCAGAAGACCATAAAGGTGAGACTGGGACAACTTCAGTGTACAGGACTGTATTTGTTTGTAAATTTTTCAAGCTGTGTGATAATGTGGAACATCATCTGTTAACTTAGATATGATACATAAGGAAACCCTCATTAGAAAATAAAACCTACTTGTACATTGATCCGCAACAACTAAATAATACAGGTTGTCATTTTTATAGTATAGTATTTTCATATTTTTATCAGGCTTCATATATTGTGCTGTGTTATGCTGTATCTCATCCTATATGTTCCCAAAACATAAGAAGAGGCTGAAAAAAAGGTTGATGCATGATAAAATCATTGATGTTGAGGCATAGACCAGTGAGTGGGGTGAAGGCAGAAGTACTTGTGGCTAAAGACAGAATCATTGTTACACATAGTCTATGAATCCATTGCTCACCCTGAGGTGCCTCTTGAATCTAATCATTCTCTTGGGAAGGACTTTATCATGTAAGGCTAATAGTTAACTTACATAGATATTACATCAGTTATTTCACATTGATTTTGCATTTTATTTCAATAAAGTTTGCTGATTCTAATTAAACTATACAGGAGAGCAGTTTAAAGCAGCTGCTGGAACATGAGGCACAGATGGTGTCAGAGATACAAACCCTAGACTCAGATTGTCAGACGCTGGTGTACGACCATTATGACAAGTTCATCGCCGCTGCTGACATTGTTCGCAAGGTAACAACTCTGATTATCTGCTTTATAAAGGACTGTAATCATACTTATTGTACCTATAAGATGCATCAAGACCACAAATGCGATTTTGTTATACAGTAAAACCTCCATTTTACGGACACAATCTCACGGGTATAGTCCGTTATATGGAGGTTTCACATCTGATGGACCTCGATATAATGTACTGCACAGTACTACACTCTCCCATATAGTTTCACTTTACAGTATAGGAAACATTATCACGATCTTACATAAGCTTTTATCTTATACAGTATTAAGTGAAACACCACAGGTATTTTGAAAGTATAAATACTGTATTATTAACTATGACTTCTAAGTACAGTACTATTAAGTCCACAGCCAGGAACAGCCTCTGATTCAGAACTGTTTTCATATTACAGAAAAAAATCATCTGTTAGTTTAGGCACATAAGTTATTGCCAAGTAGTTCAGCTTAGATTGATGTTTATCATTTTTTATTTATTTTTTTTTATTTTTGTAATGTACATGCAGGGGTGCACACATATTACACTTGTCAATCCATCCATCCAATTTTATTAGAGTAATTGAGAAAAAAATCTGCCAATTATTGTTTAAATTTTAATGACCATTTTGTATGCATCTTTGGATTATGTGATTAGATTTCCTAGTTATTTAATTGAATTTTGTACCAGTGGAGGCCTTTATGTCTCTCAAACATAACTCTCTTCCCCACTTCTCAAGATGAAAGAGGGGTCAGTCAAGATGGAGGCTCAGATCACTCGCCTTCAGGAAAACATGGGAAGAATCACAGCCTCATCCACTAGTATCACCTCAGCTCTTCAGGTCAGTACTGTTTCTTGCTGCTCTTCCTCACTGGCAATCTTTATACTCAAGGGAAATACTGGGTTAACTTATTACTAATCTTTGTGGCTTTATTCAGAGCTTATTGAGGTGCCACATTGGGGCAATGACAAAGAAATCCTTGTTACTGTGAAGGATCCCGTAAAGGTAATCCTATTTTTCCTGTAGGATATTCTAGGTTGTCTTGAAGATACAATAATCCTTTTTCCTCAAGAGTATGTCATCTCATATAGCTTAAAGTAACACAATATAGGTCAAATTATCAGAAAATCCCAAAAGAGTGAAATGGATAGATATTGTATACCCATTATAATATTCTCGTGGCTTTTAGGAGCGTCGAGGTCACCTGAGCCGGCTGCTGGGTGTTCACGGTACACTGAGGAAGCTGGAGTTTCTCTTTCATCTGCCTCAGAAAATTGATGAATGCATTGCTGATAAAAACTTTACTGAAGTAAGTTATGCCACCTACAGTACCTGTATTGATTGGTCCAATATTTAAGTATGATATGAGGTTATTTTTATGTTTATACTGATATCAATGAGTTAAGGATGTGTTCTGTGTATATAATTTACTAACAGCTCCTTATGAGAGAATTTTAAATATGTTCTGTGTTCATATATATTATTTGTTTCTAGGGTGTTCGTAGCTATGTTGAAACTGCTGAAGTCCTCCATCGGTACCGCCACATGCCATCTTTCAATGCCATCCATGACGACTGTGAAGCTGCTGTTGGTCGCCTCAATCTGGCCCTTAAGGAACAGCTTGCCCTTAAAGAGGTCAAGACAATGTTCACTTGTACTTTTATTTTATTTTTTGGGCTGTAAATTTTTTTAATATTAAATTCACACTGTTCCATACATCTCCTTTGCTTAAACATCACAACTTTGGGTAATTATTTGGTTCTTCTTCTGATTTTGATGTCATTATAAGAGCATATGGAAAAATATATTCGTACTGCATTGGTATCTCTGTCCTGTATAAAATGTTTCTATTTACTACATTTTAGACTTAATGAAGTGGTAGAATTGCAGTACAGTATATACCGTAGCTTCATAATATGAATATTGAGGTCAAGTTTGATAAATAATAATTTCCATATTTATACACTAGTTATGGCTCCTGGTGACCTTAAAAATTTAGGTGTGGATCAGTCATACTTCTCCAGTATTTTGTTTACTTCTCAGCTTATGGTGACTTGGTGGATAATTGCTTCTTTTTTTGCTTGGTAGTTATTCAGTCTTCTCTTACCCATTTCTTTCTTACTTATCTTAATTTTCAGTAAGATTGTCTTAATATGGGTAACTTGCCACTGCAGGGAAGTGCTCGTCATTTGACTGAGTGTGTGGATCTACTTCTTCAACTTGGTGAGCCAGCTGAGGGACTGTGTGATGACTTCTTGGCCCATGCACGCACTAAGCTGGAGGATGATCTGTCTAACCTCACCAAACTGGCTGAAGCTGCTGTAATATTAGAGGAGGATGAAGCACTCAGTCAAGGTGCTGGTGAGGAAACTACTGGGCCTGACCATACTAAAGAACAACCTTCACAGGAAGAGACGGGAGAGGAAGCTAAACTTGAATGCACAACCGTGGTGGGCAATGTTGTGATGTGTTGTCTTGTAGAATACAGTAAATATGTTGTTATATAATTATGGAAGGCCAAGCTTAAAAGAATAGATTCTTCATATTCATATCATTTTAAAGATGGCAGCAGAAGGTGTGAGAGACATGGAGTTAGGTGATCCCATCATTGATATAGTAAATACAGTAGTCTAAAAATAATAAAAATTTTATCCTTGATGCACCTGTTCCTCACCATTAAGTTCAGAATGTAGTCAAATTAATAGAGAAATTGTATAAAGGAAATATAGATCTAGTTACAGGGCTCACAACATTATGAATTTTGTGTTTTGATTGACGCAGATGGGACAGTTGATATTTAAGGGGATTAAGTGCCAAGGGAAGTAAGGAAAGCTTAAATGGTACAAGGGATAGAGACAGTTACTAAATAAGAGTGGATTTAGATACCAAATAATTGAAGATAATATTGTATGGGACCACCAGATGGGCGTCGGTGTGGATTTATCATTGGGATGAACAATCCGAAAAATATGAAACCATTATCTTCATAGTGCAGTATTATGATTTTTCTTGTCTTCATATCCATGGTGACTGATGCATCATTTCCACCTATACTATGATATGAACTCTTCTTTCTATACATTTTGTAGAGAGAACATTTAGGAACATGGGTCACACAAATCACTTAGTTCTACTCCTTAGTTGTAAGCTGGGATGTCATACTTCACTCCAGCACAGTATTTAAAGAATCTGTTGACTCCAGTATAGTTAGGTCTCAGTCTCTTTAGTTGTGTAGACAACTGCAGTAAAACATATACTATCAGCATAAGATGGTAGTTGTTGACCTGAGACTCATATAAACATTGAAAAGGTCAATTAGAAAAATATTGTCCTGATGTGGCTGTAGAAAAAAGTGTATTATCCTCAAAACAGACACAAAGATGAAGAGCAGCACCAGAGTCAAGGTTGGTGATGTACTTCCTGTTAATATTTTGTCTTATCATTTATCACATCTTCCCTTTGATACTCTCATGTCATTTCTGGATCTCCTTTGTTTTCTCATGTCCAACATGACAAACAGATCTACCATCAAGTGTGATCCTAGAGAGAGAATCCAAAAGATTTCATAGCCTTGGCTAGGATACTTTATCCTCTATTCTTCTTCGTCTTTTCTCCAATTGTGAAAATTTTTGTTTGTGCCAAGGTGTGTGTTTTATATGTAGTTAGGAAGACTTTTGTATACTATATATACATGAAATTAACATTTTTAGTTCAATAATGGTGTTACTTTATGACAGGACATTCTAGAGTTTGTGGACATCTGCCATGAAACCTTCGTGGGGAACCTGTGGTTGGTCATCTCTTCATACAAGGAAATGTTTCTCAGAAGCCCAGAGGAGGGAGGGAGGTGAGTTTATCCCAGGAATTAGATTAACTAGACTAATTTTAATGTATACTGTACTGTACTTTTTTGGGGAAGGAGATACAGTATAAAAATATGGGATGAAATTTGCTTTCTATTTTGTGTTGTGGTAACAATGCCGAGGAACTTTACAATTTTATCCCTGTGGTTTAGCAGGTCCTCCAGTGTTGCTCTGGAGAAACTACGGGTGTTTGTGGCAGGGCTGGTCGAGCAGTACGTGGCTGTGGTGGGGGTGCGGGTAACTGCCGAGCCCGACACTGCACATTATGCTCCCCTCACCACCGCCCTTGATAAGTTTCACCGACGTCTTCATGCCATCACGCAACTCCTGCCAAACACAAACTTTGGGGAGTGAGTGTTTTTGATTGTCCTTTTATTTTTAGGAAGTGTAGTGTAAACAAGGTATGTGAAGGAGTGTCTACTTGATGATCAGTTGAAAAAGTATACTGTACAGTATTGATTGACAAGTAATTATATGAACGCTTCTTCTATCAAGTCATTTCTACGTGTTTATAAAGCAATTTAATGCAGGCAAGATATATGTGTTTATTCTTTTATTTATACATAACATATCTGCTGTACATACAATACAGGTATTGATATACTGTACTATACTGTATACTGTATTTCATAAGTTCTGATGTTTTTCATTAGATTTCATGAACAAAGAGACGCTGTATAATATCTTTTACTTTTAGCTGCTTCACCACTGATCGGCTCATTGGCCGCTTGGGCGATCGGGCACATCTCTGTTATGCACTGTTGGCAAGTACTGGGCATGCACTGGCTGCTTGTCCTTCCGCTGAAGATATATAATATGCCTAATACTAAAAAAAATTTTTTAATCTTACAGTGCAGCTCTGAGTCTTGTGATTGAAGCTGGGCTGGCAAGATGTCAGTCATCATTGTCTGCTCTCAAAGTTGAATTAGCATTTAGTCTGGGGGATGTACGTCATGCTCTGGCTGCCCCTAGACATTTGACTCAAGATGGCACTGAGTCAACACACCGTCAACTAAACGAACACCTCACACGTCTCGTTGCTGCCACTGCCGCTTCCATCAAAGAGCGCGTCACAGCTTTACAGGTTAATTTTTTAATTTTTCTTATATGTCATGCTGAGGCATTTATGTGTTGCAGAACCACTCGAGTGTTCATGATTTTATCACCAGCAAGTGACCTGTGGGAATACAACCACTATATACCCTGTCTGCACGCACCATGCATAGAGGGCAATAGGGCTCAGGGATCAAATGTGGACCATTAATAAGCACAAGTCTCTTAGACACCAAGGCATATCAGTCTGGTCTTAACAGTTGATAAAAATGACTGTGGACTTGATTATCTCAGATAACCAATTAGTAGCTAAGTGGAGAGATGTTTATCAAGTCTTGAGGTTCGACTAATGAGACAAAATGTAGTTCCTTTTGGATTGAGTGATTTAATTATTTCCAATCACTTAACCCATCTAGACCAAGGGCTGTATAGTACAAGGAAACACTTTTAAGATAAAAAAATAAATGGTGTAAAGAACACTTAGATGCACATTCAATTAGATATGCAGTAGAATATAGGCATCCCCTGTTAGTAGCATGGCACCAGGCTGGGAAATGTGAGATTTGCTGTATGATTTCATAATTTTGCAGGATTCAGGTCAAGTGAATAAGTTAAAGGTTCCTCCTGGTGTGTCTGATGACTCCCTCTCTTTTGAGGCAACCACTAGATTAAGGTGGGTGTCAGCTTCATAACTTTAGTTTGACTGAGTGATTTGCTGTTTACAGTACTTCACTTATCCAATTAAGACAATGACCCTGTCTCAAATGTAGAGGGCCATGGACAAAACAGGCTTTGTCCTCAAGTTGTTCAGACTGGGAGTCTCGCAGGTTACTGACTTTTCCTTAAGGGTACAAAACTGGATTTCATACTTCTGTCCTTTGTACATTCTTAATATCATTAGTTTATTTAGTTGTAGCATCCACAATAGGATCTCTAGTTTGTGTAATAAACTTTTGAATTTTTTAAAGAATCTTCCTGAAACTTGGCAGACTTACTGTTCATAGATTAAAGATGTCCTTTGAATTTTATTTTTCACTTACACAAATAATGTGATTTTATCATAGTTAAGACAATTATGTAGGACAATCTAATCCTTTTTTACTCCATAGTGTGTGGAGGACTTCTCTAAAATATAATATTTTCTGTATTCCTCTAGGCCTTCACACAGCCCAAGCATACATTTGCCGTGCGTGCCGAGTTTCGCCGTCGGTTTTGTCGTGAGCTGGTGCGAGAGGGAGTTGTAGTTGCCTTCTTCTTACACATCACAGACACCATGTTACAGTTTTGTCACAAGAAGGACAAAGATCCAGTTCTACTGCTGCTCCTCTCTCGAATGTGTCTTGACCTCCACACCTCCACTGTTCATTACCTGGTGTGTGTCTACTGTGGACGTCTTCTTATCCTGCAGTATTTGTCACCCAGACTCCATTTTATCCCAGAGAATTAGATTTTCACTTTTTTTTTTATCATGATGTGGTTCAGGATCATTTGAGAGATTCTGTTTTTAACAAGGATTGATTTACTGACACATTTCAATCAATTTCTCCAACCTTTAATTAATTGTAATCAAAAGTGAGAGAAGAGTGATGATAATAAGTAAGAATATTATCCAGAGATATAGATAGTATTACTTTTATTTTGATTAATGTGGATCACTTTCACCAGCTAAGTCACTGTGATGAGCAGCTGCAGTTAGAGGACAAGACAGGCCTGACACAGCTGCACACCATCACAGATGGAATGAGAGAGGCAGGACAGAAACTCCTGAATCATTATGTGCACACCCAGGGTGCCTCCATCAGTCAGGTGTGTTTGTGTTAATATTCTCTCCATCATGTCTTGGCTGACATAACTCTTCATCCTTACAGATAAGGAGAGGATAACAAGTAGGTTATGTGATGTAGACTAAAAGTACCACTTCACTCTGATGCAGGCAGACCAAATGGTGATATGATGATATAGGATGGCCTGCTTTTGTCCTGTACCATCTTCTATAGGAGGTGTTGCTTCTCAATCTCCTCTCCCTCCATGAAGGAGGGACTGTACACACACTGTAAACTATACATACACCCTATACACACTAGTCTACAGTAGGCATACACTGTCCACTCTGCTATGTAAAGTACTGTACATACAGAACTTTCACACTTACTGAATGTACAGTACTGTACATTACTGTATATAAAATTGTTTTCACTTTTTACATCTTAAGCCTACTTTTATGGTATTCTTGGCTGATTATATGCTAGTACTTTAATGTACAGAACTGTACTCTGTACTGCACAACACAGATTAAGCAAAAAACAGCAGTGAGCGAGCAAACAAGCTTGTACAATGGCAGCAACATTGGTGCGAGAGTGTGAGGGGATAGGGTGCGAGATACATTGACCAATCATAGGCATCCCATGCAGTCACATGACAGTAGTGGCCAATTGGAACCCATGAGTACTCTGAGCCTACCCACTCATGTGCCCGGCACACATCCCCGCAATCTCTTGGAAATTAGTGTGAATGCCCAGAACGGAGAAATTTTCTTGGAATTTTCTGAAAATGCACATGCTGTAACCCTCGGAAATTCCTTTGAATACTTGGAATAGAGAGATTAGTCATAGAATTTCTTGGAATCTTCAAAAAATGTTTCCAGCTATTGGATAGGTCCAGGGATTGAAGATTCCGGCTAACGGAGAGATTACTACAGTATATTAGTGGTGTTGTCTTTATCCTAATATTTAGCTTATTGTGTACGAATGACAAGATTAAACCTCTGTGTCATAGATGTGAATTAACACCCTTTATTTTTAAATGGGATTTATATAGGTTTGAGATATACTTTATAAACAGATAAATGGACAGCCAAATGAATAATAAAATACAGTATATGGATAGTCATATATTAGTTATAACAGATCAGAAGTGACCAATATTTTGCTCTGGAATCATTAATATATACAGGGTATTTGCTTAAATTCTCATTTTGAATGAAAAAAACTTGCATTTGTCATTTAGGCATTTATTTTTTCCTTACCGGGAGCATACCTTATCTATTGATGTGCATTATATGAATGTGATTTATGAAGGGCAGAACATCAAATAAAATACAAGTCCGTGTCTTAAAGGTGAAGATAACAGCTGAAGTGTAAAGATCAGTTGCCAGCTGACATAAATTCCTGTAATAATCTTGTTTCATTTGCTTCTTTCACATGGTTCAACATGTTTTGGACTCGTTTCTTCATTCTAATATAAAACTTTTGAATTTTGTGCACTCACCAATCTGTGCATTTCTGTTTTATGAAAAATATTGCTCCCATTATTCCTCTTGGATGGAAAGTTATAGTACAGTACTTTACTTTGTGTTTGTATGAGTTGATCAATCTCCTTTCTATTTATTTTTGGGTGACATACATTAATTTCCTTTACTGTGGTTTAGTAACTCTGGCCACTGGTTAAATGTCACTGTCAAAGGGGGTGGGGGTTGAGAGCCTACATTGTACAGTACCACTGTAGGTGTCACTTGTGTTTTATGTTTTGTGCAGATGTTACGTCGTAGTGTAGAGCTGAAGGATTGGCTAGGTTGTGGGGAGCCTCGCAGCGTACGCAGGGTTATGAGAACCGTTCTGGATGAAATCTGTACCATGGACACTCAGGTAAGTCTTGTTTACACTCAAAGATTTGTGAAAGATCTTCACTTTGGTGTATGTAGTACAGTACTGTACTTGACTCATTTAGTATATAAATGAATTTATATTTGGACAGTATTTCAGAAATCTTAAAAATTACTTAGTAACCATAAGACTTTGGCCACCATTTGTAAGTGAGGGGAGTTTCTTGAGAAGCTAAGTTTGCTAGCTTTACCACATTGAGTTGGCAACTGTTCAAACTCAGTGTGTCATCTTGAACTTTTCTGGTGAAGAATAATAATACTGTACATTGGAAATTGATTTTGTTATTGGGAGAACAAACAGCAGAGGTTAAAACATTTTTTTCAAAATACCTGTACAACTGAATCTTCTATACATTTTCAGGTTGGGGCACTTTATGAAGAAGGAAATCGTAGAGACAGATCTTCAGATTCCTCTCGCCGTACCTTCCACAGGTAGGGACTCGCTCCATTGTTCAAATTTTCCTTAGATTTTGTTGTTTTGGAAATATTCTTATGTATACAGGATGGAAAAAATCTTGAAATATGCTGGTTTTCATTTGATTTTATCTTCTGTATTGTTAATTTACTGTTAATTACATTTGAAACACAGGGACATCTCATAATTTTCTCAAAGAGTTACTTATTTTGCACATAGTAACTTCATAACTGTTTGTCTTATTCACCAGTGTTGGTGCATCCCGGGGAGGAGCTGGTGGTCGTTCAGCTTGGTCATCTTACACCCCAAGCCAGCTGGACAATAGCTTGGTTGCAAACCTCAACAAACTCTGGTCTGAGCGCATTGAAATATTTGCTCCTGTAGAATTCACCAGGGTCTCAATTTTAACTGGAATTGTCAAAATCAGTCTTAAGGTAAACATATCTTACTTGTGTGTATCATATGTTAAGAGTCGCTGAAGTTATAATATTCTTCTTGCATTTCAACAGCTAAGGTTTCTAAGCATGTAGAAAGGTTAGTTATTACACTAGTCCATCAACAATTACAAATTGTGATGGATAGAACTTGCTGCTTAGAGTCACACATCCTTAATCATCTCATTTCATATACTGTATCCTTGTAATATTGACATCACACCTCTTGTTATTTACTGCCTGTTACCTCGTCTTTTTATCCATCACTTACTAATGTTTTGCAGGGAAATGTGAGCCTCTTGTGAATTATTATGATGGCTTCATGCTTTCTAATATATTACTGACACCATTTTAAGAATATGTAGTGCTACCTGAGCAGTATACAGTATATCATAAATGATATATGTCTTTCCCTCCAGACTCTGCTTGAGAGTGTGCGACTACGAACCTTCAGCAGGTTTGGCCTACAGCAAGTCCAGGTGGATGCCCACTACCTGCGGACGTATCTCTGGTCCTATGTGGCCGACGAACACGTTTTAAACGTCTTGCTGGATGAAGTTGTGACATCAGCAAGTGTGCGGTGTTGTGACCCAGAGTTAATGGAACAAAGAGTGGTGGAATTCATCTGTGATCAGAGTTGATTACATCAGCCAGTGTCAGATTTGGTCACTATGAAAGTTACTGGGCTTAAGTTGAACAAATACGGTATAGCATTCTATTTTAGCACATTGTCCTCCATATAATTTATCCTTTTTCTTGTTATCTATTACAACTAAAAGAAGTATTAATAAATATATCGGCAAAATGTTGTTTTAATGAAATTCAAGAATTTATCTCCTATTGTCATATACATTTGTACATTTACAATTTTGAATAGTCTTCTGAAGGACAGTGTAGTACTTGATGCTCCAGAAATAATATATGACCCAGAATAGAAAGGAAGACAGAAGCTAATGACACACAAACAATGGTAATGGCACACAAACAAGGGTAATGATACAAACAAGGGTAATGATACAAACAAGGGTAATGACACAAACAAGGGTAATGATACAAACAAGGGTAATGATACAAACAAGGGTAATGATACAAACAAGGGTAATGGCACACAAACTAGGGTAATGATACAAACAAGGATAATGACACAAACAAGGGTAATGATACAAACAAGGGTAATGACACAAACAAGGGTAATGATACAAACAAGGGTAATGACACAAACAAGGGTAATGATACAAACAAGGGTAATGACACAAACAAGGGTAATGATACAAACAAGGGTAATGATACAAACAAGGGTAATGACACAAACAAGGGTAATGATACAAACAAGGGTAATGACACAAACAAGGATAATGACACAAACAAGGGTAATGATACAAACAAGGGTAATGACACAAACAAGGATAATGACACAAACAAGGGTAATGATACAAACAAGGGTAATGACACACAAACAAGGGTAATGACAAACAAGGATAATGATACAAACAAGGGTAATGACACACAAACAAGGGTAATGACAAACAAGGATTATGACAAACAAACAAGGGTAATGACAGACAAGGATTATGACACAAACAAGGATTATGACACAAATAAGGGTAATGACAAACAAGGATTATGACACACAAACAAGGGTAATGACAAACAAGGATTATGACACAAGTGGATAACAAAAGAACACCCTGAGTGATTTTAAGGTGGTGTTAGAGACCAAAATGCTGTGTTGGAGGTTTTAAGGGAGGTGTTGGAGACTAAGGAAGTGTTGGAGACTTTAAGGGAGGCGTTGGAGACTTTAAGGAGGCGTTGGAGACTATAAGGAGGCGTTGGAGACTTTAAGGGAGGTGTTGGAGATTTAAAGGAGGTGTTGGAGACTTTAAGGGAAGTGTCGGAGACTTTAAGGAGGCGTTGGAGACTTTAAGGGAGGTGTTGGAGACTTTAGGGAGGCGTTGGAGACTTTAAGGAAGTGTTGCGGAGACTATAAGGGAGGCATTGGAGACTATAAGGAGGCGTTGGGAGACTTTAAGGGAGGTGTTGGAGACTTTAGGGAAGTGTTGGAGATTTAAAGGAGGGTGTTGGAACTCTAAGGGAGGTGTCGGAGACTTTAAGAGGCGTTGGAGACTTTGGGGAGGGTGTTGGAGACTTTAAGGAGGAGTTGGAGACTTTAAGGAAGTGGTGGAGACTTTAAGAAGGGAGGTGTTGGGAGATTTTAAAGGGAGGCGTTGGAGGCTTTAAAGGGAGGTGTTGGAGACTTAAAGGGAGGTGTTGGAGGGAGTTTAGGAGGCGCGTTGGAGACTTTAAGGGAGGTGTTGGAGACTTTAAGGGAGGCGATTGGAGGCTGGGAAGTGGTGGAGACTTTAAGGGAGGTGTTGGAGATTTTTAAGGAAGGTGTTGGAGAGTTTAAGGGAGGTGTTGGAGATTTTAAGGGAGGTGTTGGAGATTTTAAAGGAGGTGTAGGAGACTTTAAGGGAGGTGGTGGAGACTTTAAGGGAGGTGTTGGAGATTTTAAGGAAGGTGTTGGAGATTTTAAGGGAGGTGTAGGAGACTTTAAGGAAGGTGTTGGAGATTTTAAGGGAGGTGGTGGAGACTTTAAGGGAGGTGTAGGAGACTTTAAGGGAGGTGGTGGAGACTGTCTAGGTCACATCAGTCAATCAAATCGTAACTTAGGTTTACTCGGTTCAATAATTACCAGATGAATCATTTTTTTTCCAAACAAAGCAACAAATTCTATTCTGGATGTCGACCACGTTAGACAATATGTACGTTAGACTTGAGTGTAAGTACGTTTCCTATGTTGGCGACCCAGCACATGATGACAGATAGTGCTACAATGCTTTCACATGTCGCCCCGAGCTCCAAACTCTAATACCACTTAAACACATTTGACAGTATGTGACATCTATCTATCTACTTGTGGGTTATATGTGTGATCGGCTTATACTACCTGGTGAACACTGTTTTTCATTATTAGTTACGTCACAATAACATGAAAAAAAAATATTATATAAGGAATGAAAATATAATGCCCAGATCTTATACCACACTTACCTACATGGTCCTCAATTAGATGCCAGATATTGACAGAAATAGAGATGTAATTTGGTTTCAACTGTGTACCTAACGACCGTCAATAAAAAAAAAAATATCAGAGGAAGTTTAGGTAACTGCTCATCCTCACCACGGCTTGCCTTATAACCCCCCCCCCCACCGTAACAAGTAAGCTAGTATTTATTTATTATTATGCTGTATATCATTTCGCTATGCACTAACGGTTCATAAGTGCAAAAACAACTTCGTGTAAAATCCAAATCGACATAAATAAAAGCCTCATTGTAAGTAGCACAATCATGAAAAGAATACAACCCTGTAATGCTAATGCGTAGACAAATAAACCTTTTCACATATCCTTTGAGACATTGTTACATAATTATTTGACAAATTTCATAACCGAATGACAACACATATCGAATGACAATCTAAAATAACTGTTCGTTCATGCTAACGGAAGTGATTGACTTAAGTTATGAAGTTGACAGACGTGAACAATAAACCGACAGTCTACATATAGTTTGAGAATGTAACAATTGGAGAATGACATACCACCAACAGTTATTTTAGATTGTCATTCGATATGTGTTCTGTCATTCGGTTATGAAATTTGTCAAATAATTATGTAACAATGTCTCAACGGATATGTGAAAAGGTGTATTCCTCTACATATCACAAGGGGGGTTCGTTTACCTTCATCACTTACATATAAAACATATGAACGTAACATGGCTGTGGCCCAATCCCCATTCAGCTAGGTCGACTTCGCTCATTGTTTACGTTGATAAAATTAAGTCAAAGTAACTTAATCTATTTTAACAGAGAAAGGAATATATACTGTACTGTAATTCCCACGCGGTTCGGTTGAATAGCTTCCAGTCAGACGCAGCGCACCTCTCCTGACACACTGGTAATTCCCGGACCAGACCAGTTATGCCTAGTTCTCACAGTACAGAACCCTTGGGTTTCACGTGACCAGCCCTGGGCTAACATACTGTAAATCCATAGTGAGCAGGCGGTTTGTGTCTCAAGTTCACTCCTGTACATCTGAATGCCATTATTTCTCACTTTCTCACTCAGCTTAATCATGCCACTTGAACGATTTCCACTTGGACGATCGTCTGTTTTCTGCGATATTTATCCTTTTTAGTTGTATGATCAAATTAGGTTAGGTGAGGCTGGGAGGTTAAGTTACGCTAAATAGCATAAAACAGACGACTGTCCAAGTGGGAATCGTCCAAGTGGATGGAATCAATATAGTATTGGTTAAAAGTCGGCCCAATCACATCTTCGATACTCCTTTGTTCTACTCCCTCTTCCAGTTCACTTAGCTGTAAATACATCCCTGTGTACCGAAGGCTTAGTGCTGTATATACACACTGTCCCTAAGCGTGTATAGTCATGTTTATATGTACCACTTTCAGACAGATTCAAATATTCCCCAGTTATGTTTTCATTGTTTTTTATTATTATTTTTTCTAAATAATTGTGGTTTTAACACTTATTGTGATATCAAAAAGGAAAAATAGAATTACCACATCATATTTATATATTTTTAAAAACATAATAAATACAGTATATCACGAAAACAATTCATAGAATAAAGTAAAGGCAGACATGTGAGTGAGTGAGGAGGACAAGCGAGCACAACCTGAAAACTTTGTTTTTATTGATCCTGAATGTTGAAGTAGTTATAACTTTACTGTAATTTGTTCTCATTGCGGTCGGTCACGTCTCTGTTACGTAATGTTGGTAAGTACTGGGCGTGTGATTGGCTCTAAAATGTATTGTACCTGAACCTGCGCTCGTATTGGCCAATTCTAGTCGTAAGTGAGTCCACACTTGATGTCGCCAAAACACTCCCTCCCTGGCAGGTTATTTTACTGGTTCACAACTCTCCCAAAAAGTTCACTTTGGCAATTTCCTGTGCTTGTGGCTTTAATCTGAGGCTGTGACCTCTAGTGGGGCAGGTAAGAAAATTCAGCTGAGTAATGCCCTCTGAGGTGATTATACTGTAACTTCTATTAAACCATCCCTTGCCCGTCTATGGTATAGGCTAGGTAATTACAAACGTTCTTGTCTCTGTGTGTACTCGAGGTGCCAGAGTGCAGGCACCTGTCTGGTGGCCCCAACTGACAGTCTCTAGTATACAGTATATTGCAGACTAATCTTAGTGAATGACTCGAAATTTCTTCTGTAAGGTTAAACGAAAAATAGTGAGAACCAAGACCACGAGACCAGTTTAGGTTAGTGATGTAGATTTTAAGTGTATCTATAATTTTATCTTGGTTAAATAAGGCATGACTACCTTTATGATGCTGCCACCACTGTACGCCAAAACCTATACCTGTAATGATATTATTGAACAAACTCTCCGACCACCTGCTTAAAATACACCTGCCCTGTGTATCTAATTCAATAGCTGACGTCACATTTCCGAGAAGAAAAAAACAAACCCTGACATTCTGACAACACTGGCGATGGTGCCCACGTAACATAACCTTTAGTGTTTTCTGCTCCTTTATTTCCAATTATGATAACACACATTCATCATCGTCCATACAGTTAGTTAGTTTCCGTATTCCTCATTTTTTTCTTTCGTTTTTAGTTATTTTATTGCCTCACTCTACAGTCAAAAACTAACTACAAGACGACCGCTCTAGCTTCCTCAATATACCTTGGCAAGAAAAAGTTTAAATAAAAACACTGTTAGTAAGAGTTATGCAATAGCAAGTTAAGATTTCCTCTCTGTCA